AAACAAGAGCATGGATTTTAAAGTTTTCCATACTTTTGTTGTCGCTCCAGTTGACCACTAGGTGTCTGTCTTCATCAGCATAACATATTTAAATCATTGCTTCGTCCCTTCAGCTAACCCCGTTGGCCGATTGCTTCGACCAGTTATGTCAAGTATTGAGCTCCAGCGTTTAAACTTTATTTTTGTTAAAAAAGGAGCTTCGATTGTAAAGTAAAATAAATCAAAATATACAAAATTTTAGGGATGGATTACAAACATTAACGGTTTTCGCCCGGTCACAGTTCTAACCATAGCCTTCCTGCACAAAGCATTGTGGGAAATGTCTGTAAAATGAGAACAGTGACTGAAAGCAACAGTCAACAAGGACGTACACCTTCCCAAAAATTGTGTTCATCTGGGAGTGGTACTGTTGTATAGATCACATGTGTTGTGATTCCTTGACAGCCATACCTTCCGCTGTTCAAGGTAATGATGACTGGTAGATAATTAGTTATTAGCGGTACTGCATTTTAATTTTAGAAAGCGCAMATTTGCTTATGAATTATAAAAATTAGTAAGACCGCTAAAGCGCAAACAAAATATTTAGGTCCGCAATTAGTGGGTTTGTGCTTTAGTGGACTGGTGCCCACCACTGAAGGTCACCTTATGATGTGGGTAGGCTTTGCAAAAATCTCCCGCAATATTAGGAGATCTCACCAGGTGTGTTGCTACCAGATCAAAGTTTTGCTCAATATATGCAAACAGATTTATATTCTAGTGGTAGTTAATGATGACTAGCTGTGGCAGCCACCGTACACTGGGATGACTCCTAAGCTTAATGAGTTGTATTAATGCAACTAGGGATTATTTTCTTTGAGTCTCATTCAAATCCATCCAGTAGTTCACGAGATATTTTGCTTACAGACAAACAAGGTTGACACAGACAGTTAATGCTAAAGTTTTTTTAAAGCAAAAATAATGCACAATGAACAGCACTCAGCATAGGCTGAGTATAGCTACACACTAAGCCTTAGCTCAGTATCTGTTGAACTGAATGGGTTGTAGACATTTTTGTGCTTTCTAAAACTGCTTGGCTGTGGCAGCCATCTTGAATCAGGGCGATCTCAAAAGCTAAACAGRTGTAGATGCGCATCCAGTCATTTTTTTCTGAGAGCTTCACTAAACCCTATCCAGTGGYTCATGAGATATTTTGCTAACAGACAGACAAGGTTAACTCACTTAAAAGGTAATGCCAAACTTTTAAACTAAATCCTGTGTAATCTGTAAGCACTTGAGAAGTRTGTTGCGGATGACTCTCAGCTACCACCATACCAGATTTCAGATTGGTACATCTAAAGCTGATTGAGTTCCAGACATTTTTGTGTTTGCTATGAATCATCAGCTGCAGAGGCCATCTTGAAAGAAGTTAACTCTAAAACATAAACAGCAGTAGAGGAGCATTCCAAGAGTACTTTGAGCAAGTTTCATCACAATCTATCAAGTGGTTCATGAGATATTTTGCTAACAGACGCACAGGCATCGGTTTTATATTGTGCACTTTATATGGTGATAGATTTAATGAAAAAGTTAAATAAAAAAAAACACCCTAATTTGAATTTATTTATTTCAAAATAAAATATTGCTTTTTAGACTAGACAGTTTCCTGACAATTTCCGTTCCTCTTCTGAGACATTATTTAGGTTGCGGTGTTATTTCTCTCTGTTCATCCTGCACCTGCAGACGCTTCCCATGTGACTACATAACMCCACCGGCACCGAGGGTGGGGGGCAGAAAGGGGAAGAGGCCCCTCAACGGTTTCCTTTTTGCCTCTTTGCCTTTTCGTTTGACTACAGGCAGATTTGAAGCGAGTAATTCTTGAAATGCCAAGACCTGGAAATGTCACTGATCTGACAGAGGCGAGGTACGGCCCGACAGCGATTGACATTTTGAACAACCAAAAAAAAAAAAACATTTAAAAAAAGGCAGACGAAGAGCAGTTCAGCTGATAATAGAGGCGTTCCTCTTTTGAAACTTTGAACAAGCTGACWCTTTTGTTACCTAAAAATAAACGGTGGGTTGCACACGGGAGTGCWACTACTTTTCACCTCCGTCACACAACTATTATAAAACCTTCACAGTCGAAGCGCTGTGTGTCTATGTGCGTGTGTGTGTGTCCCCATTCTACAGAACCAGTGAGTTTGAGGTTATGTGTTTCACATCTGACCTGACACAGAGCTGATAATCAGCTTAATATCCAAGGCTGGAAACAACTCATGTAGAGCTGAGAGGGCCACGGAAACAAAAATCTGAAACTCTCTGCTCTCTCTGCTCACTATTATSAGCAGGAGCCAGGAAAAAAAAGCTGAAGTGTTGGTAAAAAACAGTCAGCAGGTATATGAGAAGTTTACTGTACATCAGGGTGAGCCACATCGTGGCTGCTCGGACCCACATGTGCAGAAAATGAACCAAAAAACAGGTGGGTGGAGTTTCCTGTCAAGTCAAAGTGTCACATTTGTCACAAAGGTTATGATGTTGACACACGTGGCTCAAAGCTGAAGTTAAACAAGTGAGTCATTAAACATCAGAGTGACACAAACGCAACATTTGCATCTCCTACTGATAAAAACGTTTGACCAGAAATGGTGTGTTAAACTGAAAACTGAAGCTTCCTGGATATTTTAATGCAGTATGACGGGTTTATTGTAGGGGATACACGAATATCTGACAAGTGACAAGACTCAGATGATTTCGGATGATCCATAGTTGCAATCAGAACTCTGTCATTTATAGTCAGTAAATGTAAATGACTATTGTTAAGAAGTTAATTCATGCATATAAGAGAACATTGTTGTGGAAGCTTTTCTGTAATTCAAAATGAACATTTAGTAATTTCTGTAAAGTATTACAAAAATAATGCCAGGGAAATCACAGAAGATGCAAACATACAAAAGAAAAAAATGTACAGAGGAATGCATGTTGTTTTGGATTCAGCTGCCACTTTAACGGGTGACAAATTCNATTGTTGCACCCCTAGTAAAAACCTATAATGTGGTGCCTAAAGGAAGGCTGCATTTTTATTCTATTTTATTTATTTTCTGTTAGGCTTTAATTATCAACATTAGTTTGTAAGTTGGTCTAGTTTTGAATATTTATATACAATATTTATATTTATTTTTATCTTTGTTTAATTTTTACTGTAAGTATTTCAT